CCTTCCACTCATCCTGTTTGCTGGGGAGTGAAGGATGTATGATTTTACTGTGCTTCATTAGTTGCAATGCAAAAATGGGTCATAGGTTTCATAAATAACATAAAAATAATGTATTTCAGCTTTCTCTACAGTCCACATGGAACTCACACTTCACTTTTTCAATATGTGGGTCTCCTATTCCAGTAATTTCCTTGGATCCCTTCCTGAGTACTTCCGCGCTTGTCTGCTCTGAAGTCGCTCTTGCCCTTGTTGCTTCACTGCTGTTTTTACATCACTTAAACTCATGCTATGTTTCCTCCATGTGTGTGAATTTCTAGGCACAGGGCAACCAAATTTAGTTTACTTTGGATGAGAGAGCACTAGAGACTTACAATGTGATGTTTTCTTTAGTGTGGAATAACAAATATACTGCAACAGAAGGCACAAGAGCCTCTTCAAATTCCAGAGAGAAACATGTTGTTATTTCAGCTAAACTCTAGCCAGAAACTATGTCTCCAAACCTGCCAAACTGCTAGGAAGTAGAGGGGGGAAATCTGCCTCTCTGCCCCTTCCCCAGTTCGTTTGCCATTATTGCTAGGTTCTGATGGGTATCTCATCACAAACACACAAGTACCTCCAGTATCAGGATACCTCTTTCCATTCAAATTGCTTCACACTAATGAACCTTTAACTGATCGCCCCAACTATTAACTAGCAATCCAACTGACAAAGAAAAAGTTCCAGCTGTAGCACTGCTCAATATTGAGCATTTTCACAAGATAGTAGGTTGGATCCAGGATCTGCCTTCTGTGAACAGAAGATGCCTTCACCTGAGTTCCAGAGATCACTCCTGCCTCCCTGTGCCACAGCTCAGCCTATGCAACAGGCTCATGGAACCCTCTGGAGGAGTTGCTTGGAGGGGAGAGGGTGAAGAAACCTGATCCTGCCAACCCAGATGCACATGCCAAGTCTGGATCCAACCGATTCCTGCAACACCTGACCTCTGCTGCCATGCGGTGGTGCAAGAACCAACGCCCAGGCTGCTCGCCCAATCCAGAATGCCACGCTGGATTCCTTCCTGGGAGGGCATTCTGTGCCACATTCCTTTAAGCTGGAGGAGGATAAGCATGTGTGTAGGCATGGCTGGGAAGAATGTGAGGCAATTTAGATCGGTTCGTAGTAAGTGTTTTGTGACTCCTTTTGCATTTCTAACATAATTTCCCCAAGCTTATTTAAAGGAGAGCAAAACTCAAAGCCACCCATTTCTTATACTGAAACCCTTATTGAAACTTGCACAGTAAAGGATCGAATGAATAGGATGCAGTGTCACGTAGGTTAACAGGGAATGGCGTCTACCCCCTTCAAGCCATTCCGGACGGACTCATTCCTTTCCTACAGCCAAGCCTCCAACGGTTTCCTGCACCAAAGTGACATTACGGATGCCAGCAAACAGAAAAACAACGAAGCCTCACTTGAGGGTCATATAACACGCAGCAGTCAAGTTGGCGGTGGCTAATCCATGAGCTGGAGACTTTTTATTCTCAGATTTACCTGAGCCGCTCTTGCCAAGTCAGTACAACAGGCGGGTGCTAACCTGTTAATAAGCAGATGAATCATTAGAGATCAGAGTTGTCTGGAACATCTCCAAAACGAGTTGATAGAGAGCCGGGGCGAAACTGCATGGCTGATATTCTTCTTATGAGTTCTAAAGTGACAGAGATCCACACAGACAGCTTGTTTTATTTATGGAGCCATGGGGCCTCAGGTGCTACTTGGAGCAAATCTTCTGCTCCATGGCAAGCCTGGGAAAATGGATGATGTGCATGTTCAGACCAACTGCTTGGCATGTCAGTGCTCCAGAATACAAGAAGAGGACATGAGATTTTGTCTCTCAGGGACCCTTGTAGGCATTTTCACTTATAGATATAGGATGGGGACACAAAATTAATGTACCGCTCATCTAGGATAAAGGAGGCAGGTCTTTTTCCACGGTGTTTCATTTTCAGATTTTTGCAACTGGGCACTAGCTTGGAATGAGCTTCTGTTTGTACATATTTTACAGAAGAATACACACACAGAGGGGTGGGGGGAGGAGAGAGGGAGATCCAGAGTAGATGTGACATCATGCATGCTTATCAATCACAGCGCTTTTTAAAAAAACATGAGGAGCAGGTGTGGAGGGTCTCAGTCTTCATCAGCACAACAGTGCATAGAAATGGAGGGTTTCACCTTCCCCCCCATTGCCGTTCTCCTCTTTTTAGCACCAGCTGGGAAGCTGCTATTGGCATTGCCTAGTTCTCCATGCAATCTGGAACCTGCAGTCACCCAATAAGCTTTGCAATTAGATTTCAAACCATGTGAAGCTTCTCTGTACATGTAATGAATGCACTGCACAAGGGCCAGTAAAGGGAAGTTTGTCCCAAGAGGGAAGTGGTGCTGTTTCCCTCAGTCTCAATTCTTCTTCATCTTCCTTACCTCCAATTGTCATTAGGAACATTATTTCAGAATTGGGGACATGGTGAAGATTGTTTAATTAAAATTGGTTTAATTACAGTTATAACTAAAATTTGTGAGTGGGGGGAATATTTTAAGAGCATTAGAGTTCATTACTCTTTTTTGTATACCTTATAATGACTATTCTTATGTCTCTTGCAGACCAATCACACATGGCCAAATGGTCCAGAAAATAGATGTGAAATGCGACATAACTCTCAATTCCAAATGGTTTCATTATAGCATCAACAGCCTGTAAACATAGATGTGCATGCCAACAAAAATTATTCAGGGGGCACGTAGTCTTTAAATTGCATCGATTTTTTAAAATGTGCTGCAGATTAAAGCAGCCCCTTCAACCTCACCTCTTTCAGATGTTGTTAACTTCAACCCCTGCCTGCATGGCCCAATGGTAAGAAATGCTGGGCATTGCAACCAAAACCACTGGAGAGCCCATGTGGGGGAAGCCTCATGTAAAGGCTAACATAACGGGTCAGGTACAAATATCATGCAACCACTTCTATACTGAAATAAGTACTTTTTAATGTAAATGATTAAAAGAAGAAATACAGATGATCAATAACACGTATAAAGTAGGAGACCTGCAGAGGAACCGAATGCTAAGTGCCGTGAGATCTTTCTTCAAATCATGGACTTGCCAGTCCTAACGTTCCGAGCACACTCCCTTCCCAGATTTACTGCTTGCAGCATAGAATCGCCGATATCATTGAGTCCTACCAGAGAAACCAAGGGTGACACAAATCCGTACAGGGCCGCCATGGCCACACTCAAGGGCCAGGCAAAAGCGACCAGCACAGCCAACCAGATGAGACTCCACAGAAGACAGGAGGCGCTGAAGGAGCCTGGTGGGCTGCTACAATAAAGAAACAAAGAGAGGTAAGTTAGAAGCATCTTTAAGTGTTTCTACTGCAAATTTACAGACCAACAAATAAGCAGAAATCATGAAAGGAATATGTAAAAATAGTGTTTTACTGCTCCTCTGTTTTTCAAGTACAAGTGATGGAAGATAGATTGACTCAGTAGACCACAGTAATCTGATTTATAGGAGCAATGTTTTGGCACAATATCAGAATTTGACTTCCACAGAAGACCACCTGTCTATCTTTCCACACTTCTTTTGGGTGCTCAGGCATCTGCATATGGTTCTCCCCTCTGCGTGTGTTAATCTCACAAAGCAATCCTGTGGGACAGGTTGGGCTGAGAGATGGTGGCAACTCCAAAGTATATGAGTGACAGTGGACCTGACCGCCTTAGAAGGAGACAGGTTCTTCTTCACTGAAGCTATTAAATCCAAGGCTAGTTGGCCATCTGTCAGGGATGCTCTACTGAGTTGAGCTGAGCTGAGCAGATGGTCAGACTAGATAACCTCCCCGATCCCTTCCAATACTAAAATCCTCTAAGTGGTAAGCAGCATTTCAGATTTTGCATACCAGCTCTACTACTGCTCCGCTTCCTTCTGACAGTTCACAATCAATATACTTTGGAAAACATTCTCTGTATGTCTGCATGCTAATGGATCCTCCATGGAGATGTTGGGGAAGTGTGGTGGCATCTCATGGCAAAAGAGGGTGAAGTTAGCTCCTGGAGCCAAGTAGCTCCCTCCATGTGTGTATTTTCCTTGTGGAAAGATTTGTGTGAAACCCTTAGATAAGTTTATGATCTTGAACGATAATCACATATGGTCTCCAACACAGAGAAAGGCAAAATTCCCATCCCTAAATGATGCTCCTGAAAAACGGAGAAACACAGTCACTGTCCTGGTAGAGGCATAACTTACAAAATACCTTTGAGACCCTAACTTAGCAACCTTATGAATGATTTGAAGTTGAATGACTTGAACCTCTCTTCCTACTTTCCTAAAAGTGGCACAAGGAATACGGCTTTCTCTTCCATGACCACATGACCCTGCAGCATAGCCCCATCTTATGATCACGCCACAAAGAAGGACCCAGACTAGGAAACTCCCCAGGGTGAGATGCTTTCTTCACAACAGTGTGCTTCATTTTGAGGGGGCTGAATTTGTATCTGGGCCAGTGGGAAAGGCCTCTCAAAGCTCCTTCTAAAGAAAGTATTAATAACATGCTAATGTACCTGCCTGTTTTATAAAAAGCAAAGGCTGCTAACATTTCACGAGATGCAGATTCAGAAGCTGATCTTTTTCAATTAGTATCTCCATCAGAAATAGTTTTTGTAAAAATGTTAAAAGTATCCAACTCTCCCCAACCCCCATTGTCTACAGTTGTATAATGTACCATGATAGAAAATGAGAACATATCACAATTCACTTTAGTTTACTTCAGAGATCTGAAGTTCACGATGAAACCAATTAACAGCAAGATCAGTAACCAATATATAAATTACCCTTTCAGCTGATTGTGTGTTATTGTGTGTTGTATGATTTTTTTCAGTCTTCAGTGGCACTGAATACCTTCCTATACACCCATGAATTAAAGATTAAAATCTTTAATTAAAGATTAAAAGGTCAGGCAAAAATAACATGAAACCACTTGTGTATTGAAGTAGGTACATTTTAATCCAAATGCTGCAAAGATATACAGGCGAGACATACAGGTTTACATGATGAACGCATGTAAAGGGACAGGAAGCTAGAGGGGGTGAAGTCACTCCTTCAGATCATGGACCTGCCAGTCCTGACATTCTGAGCACACTCCTTGCCCAGGTGCACGGCTTGCAGCATGGAGTCGCCCGGGTCATCGACTCCTATCAGGGACACCAAGGGTGACACAAATCCATACAGGGCCGCCATGGCCACACTCAAGGGCCAGGCAAAGGCGACCAGCACAGCCAACCAGAGGACACTCCACAGAGGACAGCAGCAGTTCAATGAACCTGGCGGGCTGCTGTGATAAAGAAGCAGAAAGATTCAAGTTAAAAGCGCTTTATGCACATCTCCGCTGTGCATCCGCATAGCAATATCTCTGCTCGAGCAAATGCTGTGGGATCACACAACAATCCTATGCATGTTTAGACAGCAAGAAGGAATATAGTTCCCAGCATGGTGGGTGGGGCATGCTGGGAATTGGAGGCCTCTTTTCTGTCTAGGATTGCACCTTAAACAGAAATGATTTAAATGGATTATCTATTCATAGTCGACAAGAAGTGGAGATATAGGAACAAAGGTTTCACTGGTAGGAGTTTTACCTCCACCGAATGTCATGGCCTTGCTCTTTTCTTCCCCACCATCCACTTTCACATTTGAAGTATGCTTTGATCCTACTCCTCCCCTGGTTCCCATGGGCCTCCCTGCCACTTATTCTCCAACAGTTCTGTGAGAATGGTTAGACACATTTCAGGTGTCATATTTATTCTGCCTCCAGTCTTAGCATGGACTTGGCTGATCCCTGCTGTGGGATCCTAATGAATATGTAGTAAGTAGACCAACAGTGCAATTGAAATCTATTGATTTCTGTGGCATATTAATTATTCCATGCTATTAAGACTGGGATCCTACTCTATATCATTCAGGACAGAAATATTTAGGAAGTGATGCAGCAATGTTCTAAAATGCTTCATATTTGAACATTTTTTCTTAGTATTTAGAATTGGCTTGCTATAGAGCTTTCTACATGATGCTGTTTAATCCCTACTTTTGGTTTCATTGCAGAATTGAGTTCCAGATTCTAGTTTTTCCTTACCTTCTTTTCCACTACATAACCTCTAGGCGGAGCTGCACAATAGCAAAATCATGCAATGCACAAGTAGAAGCAACACTTTCAGAAACAATATCCCCTTTTCCCCATTCTACAAAAACAGACAGACAAACAACAAACAGGAAAGTGTTCTGAAAAAAACAGGAGTGAAACTGGAGGTGAAGGATGTTTTCTAAAGAACCATAAACAAACATATGCAAGGGATCCTGGGCACATAATAAATGCCTTCTGTAAACAAGCTCAGGAAGTACGGATGTGCATTTGATTTCTAAAGAATGCAGCCCATAAATGAATGGAAGCTATTTATCTACACCATGTATCAAATTACTGAGTTTAGAAGGAATACATATGTGTGGATTTGAGTTTTGTTTACTGCAGTAGTAGGCAGTTCAGCTTGAAGATACCCAGAGAAAAAAAAGTGCAAAAGGCAAATGAAAGTCTTTGCTGTGTTTTTGTAGTATTTTTAATGTAGGATCTAAGCCCTGGTCCTACATTACTGGCACCTGAGAAGGAGGGAAAGAGGCATCTCACATGCCTGCTCCCAACTCCCACATGTTGGATGAAGATCTAAGGAGCAAACTGTGCATCTGATGGTTCCTCCTGTAATAGGGAGCCTCTGGCCACATGGAGGCATGATCCCATTTTCCTTCACAGGTTAGTTGTCCATGTGGGAGTCTAACATATGGAGGTGGCATTACATGTAAAATCTGATGACATTTTAGACAAAAAGCCTTCTTTCCAGATATCTCAGGCCTTCTTTGAACATTATACATGTTGAATACCAAGGCATCAAAAAGCCTCAACATAATTTAAAGCAGTAAGGAAAATAACCGGGTAGGAGTATAGCTCAGCTAACCAGATGTATAGTAATGTGCTATATGGAATGCACTCCCTAGACATCCACCTGATGCCAACATTATATACTTTCTGGCGCCAGGTCAAGACCTTTTAAGTCACCCATGATTTTAATGTTTAAAAGATTTTAATTATGTTTTACTTCAGTCATGGGTTATTAGTCTCATGATTGTTTGAGGTATTATATGATCTTTTATACTGTTGTATTTATTGAATTTTGTTTGTAAGACTTCCAGAGATGCATAGTGATTGGACGGGTTAGAAATATGAAAATAAAATAATATTCCAATTAATAATCTTTATGTCTTAATTCCAGTTGGGCTGAGAAATTCTTTTGGAGTTGGACTGCACAAATGTCTACCTTCCAAGGTTTGGGTGTGTCCACAGTCTTTCCCACCATTCTTTACAGCCAAAAATACCTTTTAACATTTACAAATAACAAGACAACGTTGTTTCCATCTAAAATTTGGCAGGCAGTACTATTCATGTTGCTTAGAAGGAGAGCCCCACAGTTAAAGGCCATGCTGGATTGCCTGAGACTCCCATTGAAATCAGTGGGAACAAAACAAATAAGAATTACAAAATCTGCAAAGAGTATGATGAAACTAATAGTCTTTTCATATATCCAGAACACACATTAGTGTTTCAAGAAGGAACACTCATAGAAAAGCATGCCAAAGTGAATGAGGAGGAAGGTGCAAATCTCTCCTGCACATGACCATCAAATTAGCTTGTGCAACACCCTGTTCAGCGGAGGCAAAATGGCCGTCATCTGCAGGGGTCTGAACTTTCTCATCAAATGCCCCATTCAGCTGATGACCAGTTCTGAGTGTGTTTAACTGGACTCAGGGGCCCAAGACAGTCTCCCAGCCTAAGCCTTCTCAGGCAGTCTTAGAGGCAGTGTTGAAAAGCCTTTGGTTGCAGGACTTTTAACAAATGTGCAGAACAGCTTGGGAACTTCATGGCCACTGTCAAAGATGAACCAGTCTTATATAATAGTTGGCCCAATGTATACGGCAGGATACATACAGGATCCAGTCTTCTGCTTTGGTTTATGGGGCAATGATCTAAGGAAGGAGGAGCTAGAAATATCTCCATCATCATTGATGAACCAGTATCATCTGATCAAATTTGACACTTTCTTGTTTGGTCTGTTCCTTTGAAATAAGTGATACCTTCAATTCCTACATTGGAATCATGAATTCCATTCTAGCAAATTTCAGTGATGCTTTAAATCGTATCTGCCTTCCTATATTAAGATTTCAAGTTGATCCATTTTCTTTTCCCCACTCTCTACTTCAGTATATTCCTTAGGGGAATGTTTTAAGAGAAGGTCTGTGGCCCAGGAGCTGGGTACAGGCGTGTCTGCAACAATGCCTGCCTCAAACCCAGAGCTGCTACCCATCAGTGTCTGTAGCACTGGCCTAAATGGACCCATGGTCTGACTCAGAATAAGGCAGCCTCCTATGCTCCTGGAACCAGCCCTTTCCATACTGGTTTCCTGTCCCTGGAAAGCCCTTCCCAGGGAAAGCCACCTGGCATCTGCATGCAGACATTTCTATACCAGGTCAAGAACTTCCTTCTCTAGCAGGCATTTAATCTTCGATTTTTTGCACAGATTATTCATTGTATTGCTGTCTCATTATTTTTTATATTAAAGGTAAAGGTAAAGGTTTCTCCATGACATTTTAATGTCCAGTCATGTCTGACTCTAGGGGGCGATGCTCATCTCCATTTCCTAGCAGAGGGAGCCAGCATTTGTCTGCAGTTTCCATGGTCATGTGGCCAGCATGACTGAACACCAAAGTGCACAGAATGCCGTTACCTTCCCACCGAAGTGGTGCCTTTCTATCTATGAGTACTTGCATTTATTTGCTTTCAAACTGCAAGGTTGGCAGGAGCTGGGACAAAGCACGGGAGCTCACCCCGTCTACAGATTCAAACTGTCAACCTTTCGATCAGCCAGCCCAGCAGCTCAGCAGGTTAACCCACTGCGCCACCCGCAGTCCCTTTTTTATTACAGATTTTCAAATGTTTACTATTGTATTATTCTGATATTTGTACAGATGTATGTTTTCTTTTGTTATTTTGATGTTGCCAATTTTGGGATAGGTTATGATTGTATTTCCTTGTTGGGTGGCGAAAAAATGTAGCAAGCAAACACATATACCGGGGAGGAATGTCCATTGAAGACTGAGAAGCAGAGGTCTGACTAAACATGTATAGGATTACTTTGGGTACTTACCATTTCTTTTCTTGCTGCTACCTAATTCAGGAATGGAATCCAGATAGGGCATTTTAAGCATGTTTTGTGGGAAGTAATTCCCCCTTAAGATCAGTGGGTTTACTCTTATTGCAAAGTTTTCTTTGTTTGCTTGTTTTTCTTTTAGATACCAACTTTGGAGCTCTTGTGAATGACCCCAAATAATATAAAATGCTTTTATAAATAAAAATAAATTTATACATACATTGCATACATTTATACCAAAATGTCTGCCATTCCAGTAATCCAGGTAATGTATAACTTACCTAGAAATACCCAGATAAGAATTTTCAATTGTTCACCAAAAAACACCCATTATTGCAAAGTTATGAAAGCCTGCAGTTCCGTATTGAATACAAAGCTAGCCTCCCAAGTTTATCTCTTTAAAGTCCAACAGATACAGTGTTTCTTGATGAATGGGCAATTAGTTTCTCAGCTGTCTCTTTCAGTTTCTGAGAATGCAATCTCAGGAGTAAACTTGATCAAAAACAATGGAAATTCTTTCTGACAAAATATGCATACAATTGTTCCGTAAGTCCTGAAGACACATAGCTAGAAATAATCTTCAGATACAACTCTATGCATGCTTAGAAAGGAAAAAGTCCAACTCCCAGCATTTCCCAGTCATCCACACATAGATCCGCATCATTGTAATTCAATGGACCTGGTTAATTAGTGCTAACTTAAGCCATACTGACTTCAAATGATCTAGGCTGGGTATAACTACCTCTGAATCCAATTCACTGCATTCTGTCTTTATCATTAAGGGAACTATCCTGTGCATCTTTGGACAGGAAAAAAATCTGCCTAAACATGCATGGTTTGAACCCTAAATTGCTGTGGGCAATTGTGTGGCCTAATCTAATTTTTCTTTTCCTAAGAAAAATTAGATTAACAGTTATACATCTTGCCACATAGGAAGTAGAATATGTGAAACATAGATTGTGCACAAAAAAGAAAAAGCCATACGGTTTAGGAGGTGCAGTAGGTGGAGGCAGAAGTTTCTCAGAGGGTGCTTTTTTTTCAGATGCCGCATCAACATCCTCATAGCCTCCTCCTTCTCCCTCATCTTCATCACCATAAGCAGACATTGCTTATCAAACAAGCTCCTCTGAAATACCCTAGCGACATCAGAAGAAAGATTTTTCTCAGTGCTAGACATTCTTTAAAAATAGGCAAATAAGATTTGCCACGCATACCATTATTAAGGATAAACAATAATTCAGTATTTTAAAAGGATTCATTGTCGTACTTCACTGAACATGGCTGGAAATTCCAAATTGCATGAAAGAAGATATGCAAATATTTTAATGAAATGAAAACAGGAAAAAAACTGACAATAACATCAGGTTGCAAAAGGGCTCTCCTGTCAGTCTCCATACAGTGATGCTTTGACAGGCACTTCAGCTGCACCCTCACTCTCCCAACTCTCCCTTAGATGATTTTAAGGATAGCGAGACATTATCTGTTGGGGTTCTGCAATTAAGATGGAGTGAAGGATGAAAGCAGCCCCTGAGGTCTATGAAAGACAGAACACAGTTCACACTAACTGTGAACTCTTGAAATTGGCAGCACATGTGGACTTCTGCAATGTGACCTCCATGGCCTGCCCTTGAAGGTGGCTCAGAGTTCATTTTGGACAAAAGGAAGTGCTTCTTCACACAATATATGTGTGAATTCACTGCTAGAGGAAATGGGGATTTGGATGGGTTTAAAAAGAGATTGGACAGATTCATGGAGGACAAGACGATCAGTTGCTATTATTTATATATTTATTAACTTCATTTTTATACTGCCCAATAGCCAAAGCTCTATAGCCTTGCTGGCTATGTGCTACCTCCTCTGCTGTGCACCAGTTACTGCGGAGCTGGGCAGGAGGCGGTCTTGCACCCCTCCTGCCTGAGGGATCCCACGGACACCTGGCTGCCACTGGGTATATGGAGTGCTGAACTAGATGAACCATTGGTCTGATCCAGCATGGCTTCCCTTTTGTTCTGATATCCTTAATGCACCTACACGAGTACTGGACTGGGATGCTTCCAGAGCATGGCTCCCAGACCTAGCAATAGGGGTTTTCCAGCTATTCCGTATTTGCCTCCTCAACTGATTTTTCTGTGGAAAGAACCAAAAGAAGCAGTGGAAAAAACATGGGAGGATTGCAAGTCTGGGTTACGTTGTTGTCTGGGCTTGTCTGGAAGCATTCAGGACCACTAATATGGAACACACTTTCCCAGTGCAGATTAGGAGTTCTGGGAGGGGTGAGCTGCTGCCGAGGTGCTTCATAGGTGCAGGCTCTCGGCTCACATGCATTGTGTGTCAGGGTCTATTGGACATTGCCCAGACATCGGGGCTCTTGAAGCTATTTTGCTCCAGAAGGCAAGGCTGGAAAAGCTGCCAGAAATTCCAAGTAAGACCTGGAATGGTGCAGAGTGAAGGACCACCCAGAATGCATGACTGAGCCTTGATTCAATTAGAAGGAGGGTCTCTCTGGGGACCAGACTCAACCTTAGGCTGAATGAAGTGGTTGCTTCAGGCAGGAGATTTTGGGAAGTTGTTGGTGGACATTGCTACAGGGCATACAGCACGCGCTCTGTACCCCATGAGCTACCTGTTCCCATCAGGTGTAGTGAAGGAAGCTGTCCCATTGCCACTGTTGGAGAGTTTCAAACCACGCTGTCTTGGGCCAGTCATGCTAACTATCCTGCCAGTAACACTCCAACTACCCATGAAGGTACCACTTCAACTGGCAAATTGAGGGGACTGGCTGGGAAAACAACCCAATTCTCAAGTATTCTCAGCTACCTAGTACCTACTAGAATGAATATTAAGGCTTCTATGAATAACTAACCAGAGGTCAAATTAATTCATTCCATTCTCCCCACCTGTACATCTACCATGCTGGCTTGTCTTAGCTCCAAGAGTGAATCTGGGATGCAACCGGCTATCAAAATCTCTCCTCATTTTCTTTTTGAGCACAATCCTCAGCATGCTTACTGTGCCTGGAATCCCTTTTTGCTTTGTGCCAAACCACATTAATTATCCAGAAAGATCTGTTTGCCACACATGCACATGCAGAGACACACAACCCCAGAGCATGCTTTGCACCCTGGTCAAGGGCCCATTGAGGGCAGGAGCAGGTTCAGTACTGAATACGCATCTGCCCACCTGCTCCTGGCATTCCTTTTGGTAGCTTGTTGGGACTTGTGCCCAGCATAATTGCTGCTGCTCTCAAAGCCAATGGCATTGCTTTTGCCAACTGGGGAAGCTTAAGATGCAGACTTCCAAACACTTTTGAGTAAGAGCATATCTTTGAGTATATCTCCAATCAAACTGAAAATGTTAACATAACAAGCCCAACCTGGATGCGGCAGGGGTGGGGGAGATGCACCTGCAATTTCCTTTTAAAAAGCCAAACACATGACTGCTAACTGTATGATTAGAGTCAGAGGCATATAAGAGTGGTGCTTGTTCAGTAAACCAGCCAGTCAGTATTAGGGTTAGGGTCGAGGTTACTCTTATGAATGCATAACAGACCTCTGCAAGATAAATTAACTGTGAATCCCTATCGACCACCATAGGGAAACCTACAAGGAATGGGAGGAAGAAGAGACAGCTGCCCCTATGGGCCCACAGTTGCAGGCCTTGAGCACAGATTGCAAGGGCTGACTCTAGGTCCTTGTCTCATGAGACTTGGTGCAAGAGTGGGAATGGAACCTGTAAGGGCCTGAGCTGAGTTGAAGGGGCACATGAGAACATAGAAAGGCCATGCAAGGTCAGAGAAGGCTTCACCTAGTCCAGCATTCTGTTCACACAGTGCCCAACCAGCTGCTTGTGGGGAATCCTGAAAGAGGACATGAAAGCAGCAGCATCCTCTGGCTCAAGCACCTGAATACACGCAGGCATTCCACCTTGGATACTGGAGTAGCATATAGTCATCAGAACTAGCAGCCACTGAGAACCTTGTTCTCCATACACTTGTCTAATCCCCTTTTAAAGCTATCCAAACCAGGGTTCATCACATCTTGCCATAGCAAATTCCACAATTTATGCCCTAAGTACTTCCTTGTATCAGTCCAGAATCTCCCACCGATTTGCTTTATGGGATGACCCAGGGTTCTAATATTATGAGAAGGTGAAAAATGTCTCACATCCACTTGCATCAGACCATGCATACCTTTCCACATGTCTATCATGTCTCCCCTTACTTGCCATTTCCCTAAACTAAACTGTCCTAGATATTGAAACCTGTCCTGTCCTCATAAGGGAGCTGCTCCAGCCCCTTCATCATTTTGGTTGTCCTTTTCTGCACTTTTTCTAATTCTACAATATCATTTTTGGGTGATCAGAACTGAACGCACTATTCAAAGTGTGCTCATACAATAGATTTGTATAAAAACAGTTTGATTTCAGCAGTTTGACTGATCGTCTACTATCAGGATCTTGCCTCTTTTGTGCCAATCACAACAGACAGGAGAAACACATTAGCCATGCAACCTGCTCTGCCATGATGCTTTGTCCTTCTAACTTGCCTCTTGAACTCTAGGAACATTTCCCATTCACAAAGAGCACAGAATTAGTGGTCTATAAGGGAACAGCTTACCTTGTAGATATAGATTCCTGCAATTCTTTTTCAAAATGGCTACTTTGTTTTTCAAGTGTTCGCTGTGATCTGAAGACATCAGCAAGTATTTGAAGAGAACTTCACAAAAAATCCATGTGTCTCCTCATAGAAATGGCTTGATGCTTACAGGCTACTCAATGCATCATTGTTTCTAAGTAACCAGTATGATGTCACACATAGGGAAATCTAAAAGACCGTGCAGTGCCACTCCATTTCCAGGGCTCATGCTTACGTTGCTGTTCAGACCAGGTAAGAATAGATAACTGTGCTCCAAAGAGACTACAGGGACTCTTTTACTGAAGGTATAATGCCTCTATAAATTATGGAGAATAATTTAAACAGCATCTAAATGAGGTACACTATGAGTGCATATATCTCTATGCATTATGCTAGTTAAACCTCTTTTGGTCTGCCAGATATTTGAAAGTGGCTGGGGAACTGAGGACTCTTATATAATCTATGGCCTCCTAACCCTTTCCCTAATTTTTAGCTGAATTGTAGCCTCCATAAATGCCATATGTATTGCAGCTAAGGAACTGGTCTACGACATGAGACAGCAAGGGCCCTGGGGCCACCCACTAGTTCAAGCAATAGTTTGGTCATTATTTTCCTTATTTGAGGGGGCAATACTATGATAGTATGTGAGAACCCCAGATACATATACTGGAAGTCGGAGCAGCCAGAATAAAATTCCTTTTTGGAACTTACCTTGTGCCAGAATGTGTGTGTCATTTCTGAGGAATAGTAACTAGCAGGTGTCCTCATTGACAAACGCCATCAGAGGTCGTTCGCTTGCAGCATGTTTGGAAAGGTTGTTGCTTTCAAGCTAAGCTGTTGTGATGCTGAAGAAACAATATTGGCTCTTTTTATTGGTCATCTCATCCTTTTCCTCTCTCTTGAATGTGTAAATTGTATACTGCTGCCTCTTGTTGCTGTGCTTGTTTTCTGTATTTTCAGACCCTGCAAAAATGCACATGTGATGCAGGCCATGAGATCTGTTTGCCTTTCCAGTCATTTCTGAATATCAGCTAATTTGCTCTTTCAGTTATTCCTAGTTGTGTAGATGCACCTTGAAAAAGATCAACTGCACAAATCTCCTTGTTCTTTGCTACCCTTGACTTTTAGTTCTCATCTGTGTCTTTTTCACTGGTACATGGACTACTTGTAGTGGAAATTCCCCTAACACGAATGCCTGTGACTTCTATGTGCATTAGGTTTATACCACCCTTAAGTAGCACTTAAGCTTCCTTGCAGTTCTGTTCCCTAGTTATTAATTTATAAGGATGTGTCCATAAATGTATTTGTTTTATTAATGTATTAGTCACTTTTCAGAAATATTTGGTATTTGAAACAAACTCTTCTTTTTACCAAGGGAGTATGGCAAATGCAAAGCTGTATATGGAATAAAAATGCAAGGATCCTAAGTCCACTGAAGTGTGGATTGCACTATATGTGAATAATATAGCTAACCTTTTGCTGTTCATTGTGAGAACAGTCCAACTATGTTGAGGAGGAGGAAGACCTCCCTCAGAAACTTTTAGTATGCTTTCTTCTAGCAATCTCTCTCTCTCCTTTCTGGATAACAGGAAAGGGAAAGTAGGAAATCTGTTAGCTGATCTCTCTGTGGCCCACCATTCTGTAAACCTCTGTGCTATTAGCAAAATAGTTGGCTTGAGAACAACACTGATGAAGATGTTTAAGAACAGCTGCACTGATCCTGGGATGGGCATGCAGTAATCATGCCAGAAGCCTGGCCAAGATTGGCACTGGCTTCAAGGTTGTCACAACAGGCGTGCTGTTATGGATTGGTATAAAAGGGAAAGGAGAGGATGAGAAAGTGAGAACAAAACTGCACCTTAGCAACTGGCTAAAAAATGTTTCTCAGCAATCTCTACAGTGCAATGAATGTGAATTTGACAGAAGGGGTTTAGAAATCTAGAGGGTAACAGCAGCATCTTCCCAATAAGATGAAATCAGATTGTCTCACTCTCTTCTCAGTTGCTACTGTCAATCCCAAACTGAAGGCTGTGACTTAAAGAAAATTGCACAGAGAAAACAAAGCAGGAGGTTTACAATCTCCTATATACACTTACCAGATTTTTAACTCTACTGAACTCAGTGGGGTTTATTTCTGCATACACATGTATATAGTTGTAATGAAATAAAAGATTTTGCTAGGGTGGCTGATTTGATGGATCATTCTTCACTGCAATTTTCCAAGTTCTTCAAGTTAAGTTAGAATTTAGGCTTCATATAATTCTGAACTTGGAAAAACTACAATGAACAAGTATTGTTAAAAACCATCACCTCATTATATTTAGAAAATGATGTGTTTCTTATAAGTAGAGAGCTGCTAATAAACAGAGAACTGAAGAGGACGTGGTACGCAGAATTGTTCATGCTTTTCAAGATATTATCAATTCAGGCAAACCAGCTCTTGTGCAGCCACGTGCCCTTAACTTGAAGTTAAGGGCATGTCAGGTTTCATGGAAATGTGCAATGGCAAAACAGTCTGGTTGCTTTGCCTTTGCAGCATGGAGCTGCTGAGGTACTTTTTTCCAGGTGACGTGAGACACACAAGACAGCTGTGAGGAGCCCGTGTTGTGGCAATGGCTCAGGTTGCTCCAGTTGCCAAGATGGTGACATTCGGAGGAGTTACATCCTGGCCTGCTCCCATTGGCCCACTTCTTTGCGCATTACCCAGTTACATTAAAGCGGCCTCCGCTCTGAAAATGTAATGTTAGAAGGGAGCCCAAGTGGAAAATAGGCACAGGCAACAGTGCAGTGGTACTCTGAGATAAATATTAGCAGAATTTAGCCATTTCATATATTTAGAATGGAAACACATGACACCAGCACCTGAAAGGGCTTGGTGTGCAAACTCCCTTGAAAGGATTCTTCCTTTAAACCTGGTCTAAAGGTATTATAAAGAATTTCCCCCACGCAAAACAGCAAATTGAAGTCGTTTTATTATAACTGATGTATAACATACTTGAACAATTACATGAGAACTCACACAAAAGTGATGACTTCTAACCTTCACAGCAAAGTTTAATATAATACACAATGAAGTTATTAATACAGATTAATGTATATGTTAGTAACAACACACAGCTTCAATGAGCAGCTCAAGTCTGAATTATAGATAACTGAGGAAACAAAACAAAATCTAGAAAACCAGTTTTTCCCATTAAAGAGTTACAGTGTATATATACATCCAAGTTTTGGATCTTCTGGATCTGAGAATCTGATATTCTTTTTTGATGCTATCCTGCAGAAATCTGATGTTCTGATTTTAAAAATCTCCAGTTTCAATACACTGGTTTTCAGGTTAAAAAAATAACACCAGTAGGATTGGGGTTTTACAAGAAAAGTTGGCTTCAAACACTTATTTACAGAATTCCAAATGCAAATTGTATGTTCCTTAAAACCTGAATAGCTTTAGAATGGAAATGGTATAACTAAACCATTGTACAATTTGTTACTGGACTCAAAAGAATGCTTTCTGGCTGAGTGTAGCGTCCCTGCTAACAAAGAGGCTTTCCATTGAGCACATTCTTAGCACACTGTCTTCCCAGGTTTACTCCCTTCAACAAAATTTCACTGACATCATCTAGACCTATCAATGTAGTTAAAGGAGAGAAGAATCCATACAGTCCTCCTAAGAATATGCTTATCGGCCATCCAAGGAAGAAGAGTATGATCAGCCAAATCAGTCCCCATATGACACAGGCACAATCCATCTTGAACCTAGTAATATAATTAGATGAGTTAATTCAGAAATCTGCTAAAATATATTTATGTACTGGAATCCTAACAATGGCTAGGTATGCTAGATTACATTTGCTCTTATTATTTTGGCATCTCAACAAAAATATGCAGAACTGCAGAGGAAAGCTTCATAAATAAAAATCCAGTGTCAGAATGTGTGGCTTTAATGTGCAAAGATAAAGCCTTTGATGCATGGGCAGAATAAAAAGTAGCAAGAAAGGATATGAATTGAAAATTTACAAGTTGGTTTGCATGTCATGCCAACCCAGCCTGGCAATAAGCCACAGTGGGTTAGTCATTCTGTGAACAAACCACACAAACTGTTGAACCCAACAGATGATTGGACTCACAGTGGGTTGTTCATTCACACACACCCAGGGTCCTTCTGTGGGTATCCCAAGGGCAGTAGAATTGAGCTGTCTACTGTCTCTCCCCACAACTGTAACTTGTTTGCTTGCTGCAGCTTTCTCCCCTTTCCCCACCTCTTCTCATCACATCTGATCTCTTTTCTGAGTTTGGACTCTCCAGCCTGAGAGCCAGCTTTTGTGATCCCCATTTTGGCAGCCAGTGAGAGTCTTTGAATGTAGCATATTGGAGGGGTTGTTAGAGGGTGAACTCCACCCCCCCCCATTTGGAATCCTTAGTGTGTGCCAATATTGGTGAACATTATTATTATTTCACAAGATGGGTCCTAAGGGTGCTCCCATTTTAATACACCATGTGCTCAAGAAGTTTGACCAGTTCATGTCATCACCTTTTAAAAGGATGGGGTTTTTCTTTGTGGGGTTTGTTTGTTTTGGATAGAGCTCCCCACTTTGAAGGCATTGTCTGTGGGTATCAAAAAGGGGAGAGCAAATTCTACCTATCAAGCTGGAGACCACAATCTCCAGAAAGGGAAAAAAGGTGTGGAGTGGTGGCGAGGGGGCATGGCAAGCTGAAAACAGTTTGTGACTGTGGCAGGCAGATTACCAAGCCAGCAACAGTCCTCAAGTGTTCCTTGGGCAGAGGTTTTTCACTCACTCATTCCCTTTATCCATGATGGGTGCCGTCACCCATGTTCAGGCAATATGCCACCCCATTATGGATGAAATGAACCCTAAAACAAGCAATGGAGTGTCTCAGTGGCTTGTTGCCCTCAAACCATCCATGATGAGTCAGCATGTCATGTAAACACAGCCGTACTCCTAGAAATTATAAAACACTGTGTGTGTATGAGAGAGAGGGAGCATGTGCTTCCCTAGGATAAAAGCACTGATGAGACCCCAGTCTTAAGAATTTATCTGGATGTATATTCATAAGTGATATTTGTGGGCTGCAATTCTTAAGCTGCATACACATCCAATTTTTTTCTTGGATTGTGATTTTGGGTTTACAATATTACAATTCCTTGGTATTGTGATATGTCATCTTATATTTTCTTTCTGATTCCCTGTGCTTGAACCCTTTGTAAACTTACTGAGGCCTTTGTGTTTCAGCTAGTGTTTAGCTGAGATTGCATTAGTGATTGTAATTGTGCCACAGAACTATTATATCACCTATCACAGGGAAGATAGTGATGGGTGTCTGTCTATTATGCTATGTTAAGCTATGTGTGGAATGTGGTAAATTAGTACATTCTACTTTCAAAAGCTAACTATGGGCAGAAGGAAAGATCAAAGTATAGAGGCCAAGATGGCCAATGATTGACATTTGGCTCCTATATGTATAAAACCATTTGAATTGTTAGTAAGAGTGCTGATCTCTCTTGGAGGAGAGGGCTGCTCTGTATTGCTTTGTGAATGCTTCAGTAAAGAGCTTTTCTAGCAGACAGTGCTGGTAGGGTGCTCTCTCTCTCTCTCTCTCTCTCTCTCTCTCTCTCTCTCTCTCTCTCTCTCTCTCACTCACACACACACACACACACACACACACACACACACACACACACACAGTTAGACAAACCAACCTGGCTAATTGGGGATTAAAATCCTGACAGTGCTGTATATCCAGAACCTTAAAACACTAGGAAGATTCCTATTATATAGGAAGGCTCAATTATGAAGGCAGTGAGAAAGTGAATATAAATAGAGCTTTACCTTTTCCTAGTTCACTGGAATTGCTGTTTTCTAGAACTAAAAGAGGAAACAAATTCTTCTTGAAGCAGCACTGATACCTGATAAGAGAATCAAGGCAGTGTTAAATCAGCCAGTGAACAAAATAAACTTGTGAGGCTGTGGAGCTAATCCCAGTCCAGACAATCATCTGGCTACAAATTTACCAAGGATAGGACTAGATAGCAGCAATAAATAACCTGGGTCATGCAACCAGAGTTTCTGTATAGGGGTTGGACTCCTTGAGGAACACACCTGTACAGAACAGCTGCTGGAGCAGGGACTGATTCTGAATAACCAGCAGGACTTTTCTACAACTTTAGCTGGTGGGCAAAATGCAGTTTTTGACCTTGAAAGCCATAACAGTTTCAAATAATTATATCCAAAAGCTGGCTCTCCTTCCATATAAGCCCTACTACATACATTCATTGTCAGGAGAAAACTGAACATAGCAATTAGAATTCCTAGAATTTATTTAAAATATCATAGGTGTAAGCAAAAATAACTGTGAAATAAAGATTTCCCCTCAACAGTGATGAGTTACAGCTTCTCTCTTTCCTGCACAATGCTCACTTTTAAAATAATGGAATATATTCCACACAGGTTACAAACGGAGATTAAAAGCTCAGCATTGCCTTTTTAGAGATAAGCACTGGCCATAACTGTTGTGAGGAATTTGCAACCAAGTCACATAAATTCTGTTGTCCACCATCCAATAATCACTCATCATCTTTCCTCTGTCCAATAATTCTTAAAAAAACCCAACAATGTTTCATGTATGTTTCTGTACCTCTCCCCTACCTCTTTCTTGCTATAAGCAAGCTTTTGTTGTCTCTTCCTTTGCATAATTTCCTTTTTGCTGAGATTTCACCAGGATCCAGCCAAGGATTCATTTTTCAATGCTAGGGCTAATTTAGGAAAAAGCTATTTCTGAGCCTGTACAAAGTGCATTTCCATCACCACTGAAACCAGAATCCATGTAAAAAGGCAGAACATAAGTGTCAAAGCATGCGTTGCATTGGGCTGAAAAGGCTAGCCAAATCAGGGAGGTGGAATTGGAAAATACCATGGTTACAAAAGGACTTGCTTCTGAATGAACAAGTAGAAGAACATGCTGCAAACACTGGCACAAAGCCAACTCAAGCTGCAATTCTATGTACACTTTCTTGTAAATGCGCACCACTGAACATAACAGGACTAAGATCCAAGGATTCATACATAGGATTGCATAAGTGATCATAATCAGTGTATTAAAATTCATCATTTCTTGGATGGGTAATGGCAGCTGATAAACAAAGCAGAACCAGATTCCTTTCTCTGCAAATCTGGAAAATTCCTAGTGCAAGCAATTAGAAGGCACTGTGCAGCTGTTCCATGTTGTTCTAATTCATAAATATTCATTATTAAGCAAGAAGCTGGAAGTAATGGTAAGAAAACAGGTGAAGGCCATGAAAAGAAGAAGACAGCATCCAGACCGCCTGTAAAGTTTCATGAAAGAGCCAGAGCAATCATCTGCAGCACCTCATGTGAAGCCACATCTCCCAAATGGTTGATGGGGCAGAGGAGAAAAACAAAATGTTTTGTCTGATTCCATAAAGTCCAATATAGTTCAGAACCTCCCTTCCTTCTTGGTCTCAATAGAGTAAAGAAGAAAATGGAAGAATACAATAGCAGAACAAAGACAAGAAGAATAGATGCAGGAGAGAATTTTTCCAGGTGACACTAATTTTCTGGAGGCCACTATTATTCACCAAAGAAGCTTAAGGTAATTTTGCAATTCTCCTCCTGTGCTGTGTCAAAAAACATACAGGAATGTGAGGAAAGGCAAAGAGGAAAGACTCCAGTGGGGAAAGCCCTTATATAAAAGACGCTGTATTCCTCCCAGAAAGCAAGTGGAAGAAATAGCCTCAACTAAAGTGCTGGGTTAAATGCCTTGTAGAGAGAACCCCATACTTTCCTTTTCATGTAATGTGTCGCTGTATGGGAGAAATTGAAAACAGATGTGAAAAAAGAGGTTTGTGAGGGCTGCTGAACAGAAGCTCACAGTTCCCATATTGGGCCGTCAAAGTAGAAGCTGTGTGTAATCCTGCTATTTTACAGGGAGCTTTCCTTGCTCTTGACTTCTATTCTGGCTCATCCTTCAAGTATTCACGGCAAGCAAATTCCCAACAGTGGGAATGTAAAAGCAAAAGGCTCTGGGGAGACAAAAGCAGTAAGCAGACTGCTGCAAAGACATGGCACTATCTCCTTCATGCAGTTGGCTGTGCCTTGATGCCACACTCCTGATGGGTCTTCTAAGGGCGTGAGTTCCAGGTCAATGCAAAGCTACAAAGCTCAAAGGGAAGAGGCAGCCATTGCAACAGACAATGTCACTGGGCAATTCAGAAGACTCAGGTTTTACTGCAGAAAATTTGGGAAGATGTTCTGCTTGCACTACTATAAGAATGCCTATGTATGCCCCTCAGTGGTATGGTGGAAGAAATACAGGGCAGAACCTTCTTGGTAGTGGCATCCAGGCTATGAAAATCTACGGTCCTAGAAAAAGGTTCTTGTTTCCTGGTGACAATGTAAAACAGGACTGTTTGATAGTGCATTTGCATGGCCTGTATCTTAGCCTCTATCTGCTCTGCTGCTTGAGAGGTTTTGTTCATTGAAGGCTGCAACTGGGATGGGAAGGGCAAAGTATGCATATCTGTATACATACAGTAGAATTTGTAATTTATAAGAAATTTATATAACAAATATTAGGCATTAAAAAGAACAATGAACAGATAAATTCATGAGGATGGATTTTCTGTAATGCAATAGACATTCCTGAAAGTCTCAGTAATTTAACTTGAAAAAGCCTGTGTAGCTGTACTAGCCCAAAAGAAAAAATCCAAAATTCAGATTAGAGCAATACCTTCATTGGGACAAGTAAAATGTTGCAAAATAGTTAACAAGATTTTGTGTTTTCTAGAGCTCTTCATTCAGCTAGAGAAATGAGGAGAGGGGCAAAAACTACAGTTGGTAGAAAGCTGTTGTTTTCCAGTTTTATGCCCTCCTAACAGTGCATAACGTTTGGCCAAATCTGCATATGCGTATATCCCAACAACACAGTTTAAATTCAAGAGAATATCCTGTCTTGTCATTAGAATATTGATAAACAACGAGCTTACCTTGCGGTATATGTTGTGGTGAATAGTCTTTTGAAGATCTGGCTTATTTTTTCAGGCAGATGCTAATATGTAAGTAAAGAAGCAAATGAACATCCACAAGCTAAATACCACCACAAGTATAGTACAAACATGCCTTTGTTTCCCCTCATGCAAGTCAGCTGATGATAAAAACTGACCAGAGAAGCAGCCACATGCTCAGTTAAATGAGGTCATATACTGAGACAACAGAAAGAAAGACTGGATTCATTAAGCATAAGTTTTCATTTGTGAGAGCCCATATTAAAATGCTAGTGAGCAAGGATCACTTAGATGCAATTACCAAACTTATTAATTTATCCTTATGACCTGTTCAAGTTATCACTCATCACCTTCTCTATTGCTACAACATTGGGGTGGGGGTGGGGGTATCCTCCAGTATTCCTGCTACCTTGAGCTTCTTTCTTGGAACCTTCCTCAGTCCATCCACAAATTCTTCTTTGCTTTCTGTTAAACCATTTTCAAGTTCTAAGTAACTTCTATCAAAGGAACACCCTTAATGCTTTGTCCCGGTCATAAGGCCCTTTATGTCCTGCCCTAGTCATATGAGCAAGAAACTAAAGAAGAAAAAGGGAATGCCCCATCTAGATTTTTTTAATGGGACAAGACCGTGATATTTGCACCATTTGTGAGAATGTTACAGATTCCTTCCTCTTCCTAGGGAGCCTCTGTCCAATGGAATGTTGGGATATCCTCCCATTTCAACACGGTCCACCTGAGGATATTACCATATTCCTAACCTCAGAACAGCAAAATAGAGGCTGGACAATGAAAAGAGTACATTTTTCTGAATAAATGACTACAGAGTGGTCTAATACTGTTTGCTGACATTTGTATAAACATGGGGCTTTTTTTGCAAATACTTCTCTTCAGGGTTTTTTATTCTGTTTCATTTTCCTCCTTGCCATCAATATTCCTTTTCAGATCCCATTTTGTAGATAGCCTCTCCTTAATTCTTCCTGCTCCTAGTTCTAATTCACCTGTACCTGAGGATCTCTCACATAAATAATATGTAACAGGTGCCAACTTATCTATCCAAGATTCTAGTAAATTGGACACACTTCAACAAAAAAGCTTCCTTTTTTTTCTTTTTAAGCCTCATTTGAACATATGAGCAAGCTGATGCAGTTATTTCCCACCCTTCTACAGTCCCAAAGGAAATCCCACTACCCATTTAACATTTTGTCTAGCTTACAAAATAGCTAAATATTGGAAATATTGGAAGGAGGCAAGCAATGCAATCCAATTTTGTGGTTGCAGTCATTTGTCTGAATTAACCAGTCCTGGCTTAATGGACTGCCCATTCACAGGTCTGGAGAGACACTGGATTATAGTATCCTGTTCTCATTAATGCCCATTAAACCAAGAAAGGAAGCAAGTCACTAATAGCAGCAGAGGTTTCCACCAATTTTGGCAGGCTAAGAAAGCAGAAACATATGTATTAATGATTAGTAGCAGTACTGGGAACATTTTTATATTGCTTGATATTTTTAAAAAATTTCAAAGTATGTTCACAACATTCAAAGCATATCCAGAGAGACAAATATCAAAAAGGGGGAAAACAGGATCCACGGATTCCCCATTAATAGGTGCCACAATTCAGACTCAGTATGGTGAAGGTACAACACTTCAGGTTATAGACATAGTTTACAATTGGAGGCATTTAATGACACCAAGTCGGGGTGAGTTCCCTATTTCAAGCAGCAGATACTGGGGGTGATGATGAGACGTTGGAAGACAGAGTTCTGTGCCAGGCAAGTCTGCCCTATCTATGCATGTGAAGGTAACTAGCCGCTCTCCAGTGAAGCGCAGGAATTGCCAGATTGCAAGTATAGTAGATAGATTCAGCTGTCAGTCTGGACAGCTTATGTAGGTGGTGCTGGTGGGATGGGGGGCAGGGACCTCTGCCATCTAGGTCTGCCTCAAGCTGCAAAATATCTTAGGGCACCCCTGGTCAAGCACCAGCATGGCACTGCCATATCTCTACCCTGTGTCTTGAAGGAGACTTGCAAAAGTAACCATAAACAGAAGAGGCGTTTCTGTTATTTAACCTTTGATTCAACTTACATTTCACTGGAAACTTTCGCCACTTGATTATATGCTCTCTGTCAGGTGCATAATTGGAAAGGACAAAAGCATGTTCGGCCCTGTTTGTGTTTCTAGCTGAAATGATATCACCTAAATCTAAATTTGGAGTTTGGTCAGTGTGAATCCCAGAGAATTAACAAAATGTAAACTACTTTGCCAACAATAAGAAATTTCCCTCTGATAGCAAAGCCTCTTGGATTCCAAGAAACTCCTTATTCCAATAGGCACATCATAAACCCATAGAACATGAGCAATGTTCTAGTAAGTACATCATAAATCTATAGAACATGAGAAGTATTCCTTATTGCAAAACATAAATTCCACAACACTTTATTCATGTCTGACTTCTTACTCCCACTTTTTCAGAAGGACTATTACAATAGGTAGGTGGGTGATACATATTCTCTATGTTTCTTATGAGGATATACAGAAGGAGAAACAAAAGAGTCAATAGATACCCTCTGAAATCTGCAAAAGAAGTATCATGCTAAGTTCCTTCTCCAGAAGATTCAGTAAGATTGTTTAATACAGATTTACTATTTCCCAATGATCTTAACTACTCTTTTAGTTAAGCACTGGTAAACCAGCTGACTAAGGGCTAAAGTATATTTTGACATGGTTCACACAACACATTGTGGCTTATTGAGGGTTATTTAACACATGATGAGCTGTGATGCCAGGTTGTTTATGCAATCTTGCTTGGGGATTGCTGTGTCAATTGAAATTCATCAATCCTGAAAAAAAGACAATGGGTCAACCTGCAGCTGGTTGTCATGTCATGGGAACAGACGAGTATGTTAACTGTGTAGTTTTAGTTTGATGATGCTAAGCTAGAGTCCCTGGCTGCCTTGGGGGGCTCTAGTTTATGCACAGGTGTCCATGGGAGTCCATGGAAATAGTCCTGGCTTTGTTCAGGGTGTCCTGCTGGCATGCTTCCCTTGGTCAAAGGAGGTGCAGTGGGCTGGGAACTGGGAACAGACTGTGGGAGGCTTTCTCCAGTTTGCACTGCAGCTACTTGAGGGGAGCCACTGCCTTGGGTCAGCATTAAGAGATCCTTTCATATGTCATGTCACACTCTAAGCTGTAACTAATAAAGTAAATTGTGCTGAGTGAAACCCTGCTCTATCTCTGCATATTGTATGGTTGACTTTCTTGAAACAGCCACCCAGCTGGGTGTTCCTGGCACAAATAGCATGCATGGGAGAGGGAACCAGGACTAGGAGGGTTGTTTTAACCATTTCTTACTCCACACCATGGTCCCAGTGACAATTGCTTTCCTGAAACTGCTGCCTAGCATAGAAGAAAACTCCCATTTTTACCAATCACTCATTCTTTCCCATGCTAGGTGGCACCTTCTGTAAGACAGTTTTTACCAGAACCAAACTACAGGTGGCAAGATTTTTCAAAAGAACCAGCCAGCCAACCAATCTGGAAACCCTTCTGTCTAACCCTTTATCTCTGAATAAAGTCATAATGGTAGGGCATCAGCATGAGCCAGGCATTAATAGGAAGTAGACCAGGGAAGGGAACCTCAAGCCCAGGGTCCAAATCTGGCTCAATGGAGATTCCGCAGATGGCCTATCCCCTTTCCCTCAACTACTGATTGTTGGATGGTTCTTGTGTAGTCTGCTATCTCTTCCCCCCCTCCCCCCTTCATTTTAACAGGTAGCAATGCCTCTCATCTAGTTTAGCTATGTGCAGGGAGAGATTTCAGCTAACACATGCTGGGTTTCAGGTGAGGGTTGGCCCCACGCAGCAGAAGCAGCAGAAGAATGTAACCTCTGAGAACTTCTCTGAAATGAAATTTAGTTGTCAAGCTGAAAGAGGCTCCCCATCTCTGAGTTTGGCCAGAGGCAGAAACAATTTTCTTGCGCTCTAGAAGTATTACAAAAATAACTCTCTGTTTGGGAAAGTGAAAGATTAGCTAATCAGCCAAACCTGTATGCAGAAACTTTCAGATAAAGCTGTAGTTTGGGTATTTTCTGAAGCTGAGAACATGGGCACCCCTCCTCCTGATTGAAGTGCCACAAATGGAATTTAAGGTAAAGAACACATGGGACAACAATGGAATCAATTCCTCATACCCATCTTTCCCTCACCAACAAATACGAAGGCCTATTATTCCATTTGATCAACCCAGAGATGTTAAAGCTGGCCATATTCCCGCAGAGTGCCTGTGAGAGAGTGCAGTATCAAATGCAATGAAAGCATTGACGTCTTCATGTAGGTGTGCACACAGTGTAAGAAAAAGGTCAACACGTGTGCTTTCCCATGAAGTAAGCAACAGTTCCTAGAGTTTTCCTACTAATAATTCTGCATCAGTAAACTTGCTTGCTTCATCTAAAAATTATAGTAACATCCTTTATAGTAAGACTGGGAGATGAGATGAGTCAGAAGGAGCAGCTGTCTTTAACGCCTCCTTTTATTGCATAGTTTAGGCTGACAGGATGCCAGTGGGTGAATGTTGTATGAGTAGGGAGTAATTTAGGACAAATGGCTCACCAATGTAATCTGACCTGAGTTTATAATTGAGACAAGATTAAGGCATCGTATACACAGTACTAAAAATAAAAGGGTAAACTGGAGATAAAATAGAGAACATAAAAGTCAAAAAATCTGTCTGGTTTTGTTACTACTCATAGTTGAATGCCAATAGTTCAAGAATAATACAAGTGATTAGCAATCACAATTGAGTATTATAGCAGAGGTCCTCATAAAAAATTTAAAAAGCAAGAGCAGACATTATTGTCAACATGGCTTTGTGTTTTCAGGTTATAATGCATCATGGCAGCATTTAAAAGGTCAGGTTTTCCCACTGTGACAAACTGACTTCTTTCTGAAGGGTCAGGAAGAGAGAGAATAGTGATGAAACCATGGCTTTTTCAATCTGTTCATTTTTAGCCAACTGTAAGTTACTCAGGTTGTACCAGAATCATGACGGTTGTCACATAGAGGAAGGGCAGGATCTCTTCTTGATCATTCCAGAGTGCAGCATGCAGAACAACAGGCTCAAGTTACAGGAAGCCAGATTCCTATTGAACATCAGGGAGAGCTTCCTGACTGTTACAGCAATAAGACAATGGAACCAATTACCCAGGAAGGTTGTGGGCTCTCCCACACTAGTCGCATTCAAGATATAGCTGGGCAGCCATATGAGAGGGATGTTTTAACTTGGAGTCCTGCTTGAGCAGGTTTGGACCTGTTGGCCTTCTTGACCTTCTTCTACCCCCTTTCCTGCAAACACTATTTATTTGATGGTTCCCCAACTTGTTCAATATTTTCTATAATCTAAAAGGTTAATGCCTCTCCTAAGGTTTAGTTATTGTCAAGAAGACTTTGAGTTAAAATATGCTGTTATTTTGTTTGCTTTAGATCTCTCTCCTTTCATCTTTAGCCCTTCATCTAGGTAGCACTGAAACCATCAAATCACCTGGTAGAGTCCCTCTGGAATATCCAAAATCCCTCTTTTTCTATATCATCTGAAGACCCTGACCATGCAAACACCCTGACTACAACATCTACCCTGAATTCCTTTCTTTATTCCCTCCCATGTCTTACCTGATGAAGAAATCTGAAGATCTCAAAAGTTTGCATATTGTGTTGTTTTGAGCTGGCCTAATAAAGGCGTTACACTTAATGAGTTTTGGAATATTTTTCCGGCCAGCTTGGCTGCTTAGATAGAGCAATATACATTCCCAGCTGCTAATTATATGCCCAATTGCAGTGCTTGTTATACTGAGCTATGAAAGACATTCAAGGAATACCCATTAAGAATTGGTGTATTAAAATGATCTCTATTACACACATTCTATGAATTGAGTTTCCTTGCTGAGGTGAAGCCTACCTGTCTGAAAGTTGTTCTTGAGGATTGTCCTCATTTCACAACATTGTGTGAGTTTCCATGGGCAGCTTCAGCAGGACGGGCGGTGGAGAGAGACTGTGCAGAAATCAGATAGTCCGCTCACAATGAGTGGAAACAACTTCCACTCAAGGCAGAGGCTATGTGGATTAAAGCATGTGAATGTTTTGCAAGGCAAATCAACACTTTGAAGGGTGCCCAGAACTGTACTTCCCGCTAGGCTGGAACACAGCAGAATCCCCAAGAATCTCTGCCAGGTCCTGCTGCCAAAGTATCAAAGGCCACTGGAAGATCTAGAAGGATCAACAGGACACATTCTTCCTTACAGTCTTTGACTAAAGTGATATAGCAATTATGTTGCCCTTCACATAGAGGACATGAAGAATTTTAAAAACTAACGCCATGGATCAGCAATCATAGATAGTTGTTTGGCTAGTGAAAAAACTGACAGGAAGAAAATCAATGTGTTCAAACAAGGGTGCAGGAGAAGAGCTTTACAAATACCCTGGACTCACAGAAAGACAAACAAATGGGTCCTAGATTAAATCAAGCCAGAACTTTCCATGGAACCAAAAATGGCAGAACTGAAGCTGTGCTGCTTTTTTTGTTTCTCACATCATAAGAAAGCAAGACAATAATGGAAGCCACAGCACTGAGTATACAAGTGCTAGACAGGGCTGTTAAGGACAAGGCATTTTGGAGGGCTTACGTGTATAGGGTCAGCGGAAGTCAGGAACTACTTGATGGCATGTTACAACAAAGTTAACTGAGTAACTGGGAAAGTTACTAGATTTAAATATATATGTATTTTTAAGTAATGCATTTTGAATCTAGATGTAAGAGGAGTCCATTATGTGTTTGCTGATTGAGCATGTATATATTAAAATATTTTATTAAAATAGTGATCCCTAAATATGTTTAGAATTTGGCCAATAGAAATATGGTCAGTAGTGGTTAGAGTACTGAACTGAGACTCAGTAGACCTTGTTATAGTCCCCATTTACTCATGAAGCTCATTGGGTGATTTTTGGCCAGAGAACCACTCTGACCAAGCCTACCACACAGCATTTTTTGAGGAGAAAATTGAGGATTGTGTAAGCCGCTTTCATTTCCTTGGAAGAAAGTGGGATATAACTGTAACAAATACAATGAATAAGGAATCCTTACAAGGGATCCAGCCAGAGCGGGACACACAGTCAAAATCAGGCTTGGCCAACCTTGATTCAGCCTGCTTCTTTTTAAAGCTTAAACTGGGGTGGGGGCAAAAAGTAAAGAACCCCACTGGGATCAGGGTCAAATTTGATTCCTACCCAGTAAGAATCAAAGATTGCACTGAATAGGGGGTTCAACCCTCTGGCCTCTACCAACTCTACTATTCTCTAATTCTCTGATTTATCTGTGCATCTTTATCTTGGCATCATTTCTTGTTTACAATAGTGTGATGGACATTTGAGAACTTTTTAATGGGGCATGCACTCTTAGGCATGCAGAATCACATACATATATAATAATAATAAATTCTTAACATGTCTTACCAACGTAGCAATTTCAGTAAGGTTATTAGCTGCTGGATTCAAAATGCTAAGAAATACCACTCCTCCTTATAGCCCATTCCTTTCCTTGCACAGTAATTAATAAACCTTCCTTGCCCCCAGACTATCAGCCTAAAAATAGTTCCCCTGACAACAGAGAGATGTCAAATGTAAGCAGCAGGATGCTGAAGTGCCTCGCGATGCATAGCAGGACTACTCTAATGCTGCAGCCTGGTAATTCAGGAATTCATCGCTGATAAATGGGCAGACTTAGTCACTTTTTTTCCAGCAAGGATTGCCATGCCAAATCTTTTGTTATTAAAGGGAGTTTCACCTGGTTGTGGTATAGTTCTCCTCATAAAAATACCAAGGTAGCAGAACATCCAAGTCCAGTTCTCAAATTTCAATGTTAGAGTCCATCTTTTTTAACACGGAGAGCCATCCTGGTTCAGGGGGAAGGCCTGTCTAGTCCAGCACTGTCTTTCCATAGCGGCCCACCAGCTGTCTGTGGAAGGCCAAAACCAGGCCATGAATGAAATTGCACCCCACACTCATTGGTTATATATTTCCCTCATGAATTTGCCTTAGTTGCTTCTGATGTTTTAGTGAATATGGAAGTGTTTCTCAAGAGTTTTATATGCATAGAAGGGTAAAATATACATCTACTAAAAGAAACACATGTGATCTGACTTACAAATTTGACTTAAAGGCCTTCAATGCATCACTGAGAGAAGTGCAGATGGGAACATTGTGGAGGTTACAACTGCCTACCCTCACACACACACCAGACCACCACCACCCTTTTTACTGTGAAAGTTGCCTCTTGAGACTTGAAGAGATTTTACTTGAAAAATTCTCAAAATGACTTGAGACTCGACTTGGACTTGAAAGTAAAGACTTGAGACTTGACTTGAGACTTGGAGTAAAGGACTTGAACATATCATTGATAATAATAAAGTATATGAGCAAAAATATCTCAAGTCGCTTCATTAAATACATAAAACTACCAGCAGCTGTTCCTGCCAGGGTTTGGATTTATTTTTAAAAAAGGAAAGTTGTTGTTAGATACTGGAGTATTTTTAGAAATTAGGCTAGAAAGCAGACAATCCTTATCTGAGCTGCTCACATACTGCCTGAAGGCCTTGTACCATTCATCCCTGATTAACTATATGAACGTTAATTTATGAAACAATCACCCTGTTTCTATGTCTTGCACTGTTAGGCCACAGTGACAGGTTAAAAAGCTGTAATTTATTTTTCATGATGGAACTTTTAGAGCTTTTCCAAAGCTATAATGTTGGTGAGGGATTCACAGGTGGCCAGATTACAAAAGCTTTATAACTTAGAGGAACAGGCAGATTGACTATGAATTGATTCTCATTAATAGAAAAATATTTATTCTTTATTTTTATAATTTAGTTCTTTTTTGCATCATAGTCTTGTATGCATGGAGCATTACTGTTTGCCACACTACCAGGGGCAAATCTAAAAAAAACAAAAAACAAAAAAAGAAAAACAAATCCCATCCCCCAATAGCTTGAAGAGTTTTTTTTTAAATAAACTACATCTTGTAAAGAACAATTTTTGGCATCTTTGCCAGCAAAACTTGGCAGCCAGAAACTAATTGATAGTGGTTTTGTAACTAATTGACTTATGTTTATTGTAAATCTGTACATTTATGAAAGTACATTTGAAAGTTAATCTAGAATTGATCTACTTTTTGAAAAGTAGATTTAGGAGACTGAACCCTCTGAATTATCTGTGAGAGCTGCAGTAAAAGAAAATTTACTTTTTTATATTTAAATTGATATCGTTAACAAAGGCTGCCAATCATTGGTTCAGACAAAACAATAAGCCGGGGTTTAAGCCGGGAAATTTTGGCTTATTCTGACATACAAACACTAAAATAAAGCAAGTGCCTCTTCTTCCAAGGAATTTAATTGTGAGATGTAGTAGTGACTGTACTTTAATTGGCTTTGGATATCACTTTCTACATAGAAAGGCCAGTTTCAAAATAGAAACAGTGCTTTTTTGTAGTTCTGAGTCAGCAAAGCACTTAACCAAAGCATTTTTTCCCTTACAAAAAAGGAAGTATGTCTTCAGTTACAAATGGCAGATCATGTGATAAACTGTTCCTGGAGTGCGCTACTTCAAATTGTAGGTGGAAGATAGTAAGACAGAATACTACCTGGCTGGTAGAAAAGCAGATACCAGGAACAAGGATTCTAGCCTAGTTTTGTTCTTGATGTGCTGGTGTGAATGTGTTTTTAATATAAAACACACTCAAGTAAACAAGGTTTTTAAAAAAAGTTTTACTAAATACACCATATACAAATAAAAACATGAAATGTAATTCTGCAAGCAGTCATTTGATTACAATTTTGATAATCGTTTACTTGTAATGTTCATGCTGGTAAGAATTGATACTTCAAGTATCATTATTTACTTCAGTTTAACAGCAATTTGGCTCAGTGCACTAGCTAATGGATGCACATTGCACTGGTCATCTTTCCGTGACTCCTTAACATATATTTCTTTTTCAGGTTCATGTTCAAAAAACAAAGTTCATTTTTCAGCACCATCCTCTTTTTCACTGTCTTCACTATCACTATCTCTTCCAGGATGCTCCGGCATCTTCCGATGTTCCTCCTCTTCCTCTTGTGTCTTTTGTTTCTCATCCGAAGTGTCATCATCCATAATTTCCACTGGTGTACTTTTAATTTCCATTTCTGTTTCCATTTCAGCTTCCTTGCTGTGAAGTATTTCACTTTCCTGGAACTGAGGAGTTTCAGTTTCTTCAACAAGTGCTGGAGGAGGTAATAAATCCTGGTAGGAAAAAAACCAATTCGTGATGGTTTTTGTTTATGAACAGATTCATCTTTAAAACACACATGTGGTCCAATTAGGCATATGAAATCAGAAGACTTCAACCCAATACAAAATCAATTTTCATGCAGTGAAATAAAGTGTCGCCTGCATGTCATTTGTTTGCAGTTATTTCCATTAATTTGTATGATACCGTTGACACAGATGAGGCTTTTTTTAAATGAAGGGCACCATAAGTAAGACACAGCTGATTAAAATGAGCTAATTAAAAAAGAGAAGATTCATGGAATTATTGAAAAAGAACCCAAATAAAATATTTTCAGTGGGATGAAACTGTGTGCATTCGCTTGTGTGTTTCTTTAAAATAACCTATTTAACACAGCAATTTTCAGAATACAATGTAGGATCTAGGCCAGGGATTAACCTCTACTGAGAGTGCAATTCTTTTCCTACCTACTTAGAAGTTTCATGCATTAATGGGACTCACTTCCAGATAAGCGTCCATAGCCTGAAACATGCTTTTCCCATGGGAATTCCACAACTGTAGGCATCTTTGATATTACTGCTCCAAATTCAGTAAGTGGAAACTGAGGGAAGGTCCATAGCACCCATGTGGAGTCCTGCCCCTTTCCTTCATGGTGTGCAGGAAATAATATCTGAACCAAGACATTTCTTTGGATCTCCAACTTTGGCTTCATTTGGTACATTTATATCTCACCTTTCCTCTAATGACCCCAAGGGGGTAGACATGCTCCCCC